GTGTAGAGTAATAAGTTACTCATGACATTACCTCTGTGTTACTTTGAACAAAATGAGCTCAGAGGAACTAATCTTGATTTAAATGGATCAGTGTCATGTTGTTTCACAGCAGGTAATCAAAGCACAGAAGCTCCAGTTTATTACAGTTCATTTCAAATCCAGTGCTGTACAGGTCTGACCCATTCATGCATTCACATACAGTGGTTACCACTTTGTGTTAAAATCACCTGCATAATATCATGATGATATAGAACCATTTAATACCTTGGGCCTTTTAAAATAAATGAATATCCTTGGACACAGGGAGGGTCAGGCAGAGGATCAAAGTCTGATAAATATGAGATATGGATCATTATTTGTCAGCTTATGATTAGTCTGAGTGGGCGGAAGTTTGCTGCATAGATCAGCCTCTCATTGGGCAGAACGAGCCACCCGCTGAAGTCCCGCCCTACCACCTCCGGTTGTGTAGCAGTTTAACCGTTTTCAACACGTCCTTTACTAACTTTTGCGGTGTTTGATCTTGCGGGGATGTAGCCATTTTTCTGCCATGGTTTGCGTCCTGTAGGCGATATTTTTGTGGGCGTGTTACACCAAAACCTGTTTCCCCCTGGCCATATTTTTGCAAGGGCACCGTTGCTGTGGCAGCGCCCAGAACGATTGTGATTGGTTGAAAGAAATACAAGCAGCCGGGGCATTTTTTTCTCCAATCTTAAAGTGAGAGTCGGCCCAGCCAGACCTTTGTTTTCTTGAGAAAGGTCTGGTGAGCGAGACTAGCTTATGATATGAAACACAATCAACAAATGTTGAGGTTAGCCCAACAAATGGAATGGTGTGTGAGTCAGTCACTATGACCAGTGTTGGGTAGCATTACTTTTGAAAGTAACTTGTTAGATTACAATGTCACTGCCAGTAAAAAGTAATTTGTTACATTACAGCATTACCAACTGAGAAAAGTAACTCCTTAGAGTACTCTTGCGTTACCAAAAAAGAAATCCATTTACTGTTCCTTGAGCATGTTGCTACTCATATTATCCACAGGATGCACGTCGTCTTAAAATGACTCTTCCAACATAGAATGAAATCATTCTCTGAAATTAATCTGTATCTCTGCATGCTAATAACAGAAATGACAGACAGCAATATTACCTTCAAAACGCCTTATCAATGCTTTATGTTTGATTATAAAACATACCATCCAGTAGGTACAAGAGTGCCTAACAACATGTATTTTTGTGTTTTTTTTGCAATCCAACTGCAATGAAAAAAAAAGAAAAAAATGAATTTTTTGTAAACACAAACCGAGGGTACCAGACACGTAGCAGCTTTGCAGCCTTTTGGCTGTTACAACAATCAGATAGCAAATTTAGTGGAGACATTCATTTTATCTGCCTCTATGAAAAGAGCACATCCTATTATAAATGATTTACTAAAACAGCCTACACCTTCTGTAAGCTACAATGTAAATTTTGTCAATGATTTTTTTTTTTGGGGTAAGGTTGTTAATGAGTATGAGCAAAAACAAGTTTACCTCAATTATGACATCGGGCAGGCCAGATGTAATACGGTCATATGGGAGAGTTTGCTCTTTAAACCCAGTGTTTTAGCCATCAGGGCTTCCAGAGATGGCAGGACGGTTCCATAAAAGCAGTTCTCTTCCTTTTGAATAAAGTCCAAGGCTGTCGTGAGTGGCTTCAGAACTATGGAGTACTTTTAAAAACTGGTATTCCCTGTCTGTGATACACCTGATGCCTGATTGAGTGCAAAAGTTAGTCAAGTCTGTGATGGGAATGCCAGTGACCCTGTACAAGGCATCATAGGAGGAGGTCCACCTTGTTCTCATAGGAACCAGTAAAAAATGGGGTGTCAGTATTTCAGTGTAAACTTATTTTAACCTAGATAGAGTATTTACAACTATGTGGAGATTAAACCAACTTCAAGAGTATAGTTAAAAGTAAGTGTAAAATCCTGCAGACCTGCAGTGAAAAATTCAACTCTACGGAGTGCTTGCCAACCGCCAGTAAACCTACGAAGAATAAGAAAAACACTACAGAGTGTGATTATGCGCCTGTCTGCACGAGGGGAGACAATAGCAGCTCTGCAGGCATAAGGAGAGAGTGGTGCCACGGTCTGGTAAGTAACATTAACGTTCCCATGTTGGCAACATCGTTTAATAATTGTATTTCAACTAAACATGGTTTTATAGTTTCATAGATGTCGACTGAGGATATGTTGGCAATTATGTACCCTTCTGTTTGATATTGTCGAGTAACGTTAGCTATAACGTTAAGTTAGGCTATGCTAACAGTTGCTAACAGTTCAGAAGTTCGACATGTTCTTATTGTGTTAAGATGCACCTATATGTAACATGTTAACTATGTGTTTTTTCTGAATGCTGTTGAGATATGGATACATGCTGTTTGTTGTATGGCAACCTTTTAGCAACCAAATTATTGTTTATAAGTATGCTAGTCGCTAGGCAAGCTAATCGCTAGGCAAGCTAATCACTTATTCGCTTTAAGCACATGGATTACAGTCATACCACGGCCTAGCGGCAATTAATTAACTTGTGCCAGAGATGGTTGATAACATAATATAATATAAGATAAGTAGGGTTGGGTTGGTTCTCGGTAATACCAATTCGGTCCGGTACTCCGTCTTGGACCGGGTTTTATTTTTTGAGACCGACCGGACCGCATAGTTGGGCATAACGTACGCGGAGCGGACGCCGCGGAGGTCCGCCTGGTAAAAGTGGACCTCTGCAAGCCCTGTGCGCGCAAAGCACGACCGCGCGGACTTCACTCCGCGCACCAGTGTCACACAAAAGACTGTTCAGCATGTATTTTTCACATCGCGGGGATTTTTCACGGACATTTTTACAAGTAGTCCACTCCGCTTATAGTAAGCCCAAGTCTGTGAGCACCCGTGTCTGCCTCTTCACCAAGCGCACAGCAAGCAGGAGAGAGAGGGGGGTGGGGCGGGGACTGAGCTAGGAGGTGAGAGTGTGCATGCGCCTCTACTGTAGCCTGGAGTTTAATAGTGACGGGGAGTCGATAATGGCGGACAATTTAGTCTCGACGAAATCAAGGAATGCGCCACTATGGCAATACTTTGGCTTTGAGCCAGACGAAGGAGGCAACCCTTGTTTGCACTGATTGAGTAAGCTGCAAAATTTATTTGTAATGAATAAAAGAAACAACTTGTTACTGTCACTCTGTTGTCCTAAGGTCGTTTTTTTATTTTAAATGAGTCAATTGCGCCCCCAAGTGGCGAAAATCCGGTATTACCGGCTTGATGCGTTTTTTTGTTTTTTTTTACAAAAACCGGACCTTTTTTTTTTTTTCTCATACCGACCCAACCCTAAAGATATGAATCATTTTATTTATCCCCCAAGGGGATGAATAAAATTATTTGCTAGCACTAGCAGCTAACCTGTTACTGTATTGTCTTCATACTGCAGCAGCTAACTTAAGTAACTGTTAATATTAACTCTGAAGTAAAAAAACATAACTTCTGAAGCACTTTAATGGGTAACTCTTTGTAGAACCGTTTTTTCTTGGTTGTTGTTTTTTCCTTTTATTTATTTTAACAGAATATGCTGCTGCGTGTTGTGTTTTCTGCTTTCTGACCTAACATTTGATGCCTTCAAGAAAGAGGATTAATTAGTACATTAGGATAAAACAATATCACAACTTTTTACTTGTTTAATACACCTAGTTCATCATAAAACCATTCCTTCTAAACTACCTAAGTTGATCATTGTTTCGGCTGTGCTGTGTCTTAAAATGGATGGGAATGACCTATTGACTTTAGCTTCAACTCAACAATTGTAATTGTATTAATTTTAATCTGTTTTAATTTCTTTTTTTTCTCCTGCTCTCTAGCACTTTGAGATTGCTAAAATGTAAAGTGCAATACAATAAAAAATTTTATTATTATTATTATTATTATTATTATTATGATTATTATTATTAACAGCATTTTGTGAAGACATGAGGCTTACTTTGTTGACACTTTGATTCTCATCAGAAGGAAATGTTCTTCCAAAATGCATAACAATTTCTGTAATATTCTTTTCTAGGGATGTCCTGATCTGATTTTTTTGCATCCGATCCGATATCGAGTCCTTTATTTTGAAACCGAGTCCGATACCGAGTCCAATCCGATACTTTGCAAAGCATTAAGAAAGGAAAAAAAAGAATGCAGCCAAGTTGTCCCATAAGGTTTGTTTTTTATTAAAATAGCATCCAAAAAGCTTATCGGTGGTTCAGCGGCACAAAATGTAAACCAAGTCAATATCTTCATCTTGTCTTCAATAAAACAAAATAGGCCTATATCTTTTTAGCAGTTTGACACATGAAACAAATATTTTTCTTTTACTCAGTCAAACCCCACAAAGAAACCATAAAACCCATAAAACAGGTCCCTCAACACCAAAATTAAATTGTTTTTACCTGGTTTCTGTAGAACAAAAGAATTATACTCAATTTTCAAAAATACAAATACAACAGTAATCAGTTTCAAGAAAGTATATATTTTTTCCACCAAAGAAAATAAATGTTTCGCTCCGTCAGTTCAATCCAGTTCAAACAAAAAACTCCACTCCGGGATTTCCAAATAACACACAGTTCACAGTTCAATTCAGTTCAATCCACACAGTTCGCTAAACAAAAGAAAACTCCACCGCAGGTTTTCCTGCAACCAAGGAGGTAAAGAAAATCCACTGTTTGCTCTGACTCAGTTCAGTTTCAAAACAATAAGTCAACCCGGCCCGAAGGTTCCAGAAAAGGAATTATGAAACGGAAAGTAACCCCCGGCTTTTGCCAACTCATGGGACTGCGTGTGAATGCCGTAACGCTCCGGCATTGTTTCGGGCGTGGAGGCTCCGTAGGATCCCTTGATATCCATGGCGGAATCTCTGAGTTGAGGCCTTTGGCCGGATGGATGATATTCCACGGGGAAGCGCGCCTATTTCGCGGACTTTGAGCGGTGTAAAATGCCGTGGTAGGCCATCCCACTGGCCGATAGCACCGGTGGGTGTGTCTGGAGGTACCTCAGTGTTTGGAGGTGAGCAAGCCATCAGCTGACTGTCTTATAAAAAAAATATTTAGAAAATATACAGGATCGCCACTTGGTAATCACTGACAATTCACAAATGTGTTCATATTAAACTTAAAGGTTTGGATGGGATGATCAGCAGTTCATTTAATATACTTCTGTTTTGTTCATATTCCTTAATGCACAGATGCTTCTCTATCATCATCATCATCATCATCATTATCATCATGCTCAGCAGCATCTGACCATAGCATCATTCTGAACCTCACCACGTGTGACCCTCTTGAAGAAGCAGTCGCTGCTGAAGGAAGTCAACCTAAAAGGCCATGCCACATAAACTATGAGGCACAAGCGGTGGGTAGTGGACATTGTTGTTCAGTCCAATCTGGATGTTGTTCCATTTGAGAAGTGCTTTTTATGTAATTATTTTCCTGTTGTATGGTTTAAAATTTTCTGACTGCATATTTTATTTCCATTTAAGTTGATTGAAAATATCCTAACACCAAAGCCTGGTGGTGAACACATCATGCAAGAGTATGCAAAAACCAAATCTCTGAAAGATGCGACCAGAAGACAGATGATAAACATACTTGCTGCTGAGATGACACAAACACATGGGTAAGAATCATGCATTTAGGCTATAAAGAAACATTATTAGTTATGGATTGTTTCTAATTGTGTCTAATTGAGTGTCATCATTGAATTCATACATTAGGAAATCCCCCCCTAAAAGTGTCAGAGTAAAGTATGCACAGGGGATAGTTGCTCTGTTTCCATATCTGGAAGACCCATATTCACAACATGGATATGTAAGTAAAAAAGGTCCTTACAACATTAAACACAATTGCCCTTAGAAATGTTGATGGCATAATCCGTCTGCATGTATTTAATTACACAGGAACATTTCTACAATCCAGAGAGCGGTTCAGGATACCTTGCATGGCGGCTGAAGACCATTCAAAGAAAAACTGCAGAAGACAGAGGTGCCTCAGTCAGCAAATCTCCCAAAAGTAAGTTTACTTATTAGTTACAAATTATATTGATTAAATGTGTTGGCAGGAGTCATTAAAATTGTGTTTTCTCTCAAGTTGGTGGGCCAGGCCATGGTCAACCCAGACCCTTCACCGCTGACAAAGTGTTATCTAATGAGGAAGTGGAAGCAGCTATTGCTGTTTTGAAACACTCTGCTGATGAAGACACTGTCCGTGAGAAGAAGAAAACTACCTTCAGTTATCGTCATTCACTGGTCAACGATGAAAAGAAAGCAGCAGATGTCTTCTCAGTCTCTCCACGGTTTCTGGACACACCAAGACTGGTAAGACATCTTCATTAGTTGAATCACTGAAATATCCCATGCAGCATGCAGTGTCACTCATCACTCCTTTCTATGCACTGTATTTTTGCATTACAGATAGAACAAGATTTCAGGCTCCTATTTGGTGAGGTCACTGCCAACAAATTCTTGGAAAGGTGGCCCATCAATTTCAAAGCAAAAGTTAAAGGAAAGCCATGGACTGGTGCCAGCCACAGAGCTCTTGGAATTAATGTGCAATGCTGAGTCAGCTGCTGAAGTTGAGAATGGTATGACTGGAACTGTTTATAATTGCTGTTGTTGGTTATATATGTAATTGTGCCAATTTAATGTACATGTGGCATACCGCTAACCTGATGTTTGTTTTTCTGTAGGCTGGGACAGTGACATGTGTGCTATCTTGCTGCTGCTACATCTGCTACCACCATCTGCACAAGGATGAAAGAGGCCAGGAAAAGAAACTCCCAGATTTGCAGAGTTGCGAGCAAGAATGGTGCGTGAGATCACACAATTAAGTGTTTTCTTTGCAAAAGTGACCATGGTAGACAAAACAGCCTTATAAAGCACCTTAAAGTAATTCATCGTCTCTGTACTGGCAAGACTCTTCATCTTAAATGTGGGCAAGTGGGATGCTCATGTTCTTTTGGCAGCTTTTCTGGTTTTAGGAAGCATCTAAACAAGTGTCATGTAAGTGGTTCATTTGAGTCTGTAGAAGAAGGTGATTTTTCACCTCATCAAAGTGTTGACACAAGTAGTGTCACTGATGTTGACGGGTCGTCTGAATATTTAGAGGCTGAGCCAGAATTATCTTCAGCAAACCTTGTAAATAGTTGTGCAGTGTAATTTCTGACTTAAAGGCAGCAGGTGTAGGCCAAAGTGTAGTGAATTCTGTAGTGATTTCCATGGATTCCAAGAGATTGTTCAAGATATCCAGCAGCATGCTAAAGAAACTGTCATTAAGCATGTGTTTAGTGATGAAAGAGAAACTGAAATGTGCAAGAAAGTTGAAGCATGTTTTGAGGAATTAGAGAATCCTTTCACAATTCTTAATTCAGAATACAAGTGATCAAAATTTTTCTCAGGCAAGTGTGGAATTGTAGAACCAGTTGAATGTGTAATTGGCTCAAGATTTGACACAAGGCAAAATAAAGAGACTGGAACATATGATCAGACAGTTGTTCAAGATAAATTCATGTACCAATTTTATCTACACTGGAGTCAATATTTAAAAGTCAGTATATTGCAAAAATGTTGAAAAGCTCAGCCACTGACGACTCAAGACTCAGAGATATTTGTGATGGTTCTTTATTTAAGACTCATCCTCTGTTTTCAACTGAAAAGCACACACAGTGCAGATCCAAATGTTGTATGATGACTTCGAGGTTGCAAATCCTCTTGGTTCCAAGCGAGGTATTCATAAACTAGGTGCAATATATTTTACCTTAAGAAACTTCTCTCCGAAATGGAATTCTTTTTTGGCCAACATACACCTGTGTGCCTTATTTCATGCACAAGATCTTAAACGGTATGGTTTTAATGAAATACTTGCTCCTATTGTTCGAGATATTAAAGTGTTAGAGACTGATAGTATTGAGATTCCAATATATGGTGGCCGTGTTCGTGGTAGTGTGGTACAGGTTACGGGGGATAATTTAAGCTTACATAGCTTGTTTGGTCTGGTGGAGTCTGTCAGTGCCAGGTACTGTTGCAGGTTTTGTTTAGCTGAAAAAGATGACTTTCAAACAGAATTCTCTGAAGATTCTTCCAAAATAGTGTTAGGCACCAAAGACGCCCACGCTGCTCACTGTCAAGAAATGGCTCGTAATCCATCTCTTCCTTACGTATTTGGTGTGAAGAGTTCGTGCTTATTGAATTCACTGACATATTTTCACACAGCTGAGAACTTCTCAGTTGATGTGATGCATGACATTTTGGAAGGGGTGGCCCAGTATGAACTGAAGCTGTTGTTTTTGTATTTTAAAGAACAACACGTTACACTGGGGGAGCTGAATTCGAGAATACAAAATTTTGATTATGGATTCATGGAAAGAAACAATAGGCCAGTGGCTGTGAATTTAGGTGGAGAGTCTAATGATCTGGGACTGAATGCGGTTCAGTCATGGTGCTTATTGAGTAATGTTCCCCTCATTTTTGGAGATTTGGTAACCTCTACTGACCAACGTTGGGGCCTACTTCTTTTATTACTACAAATAATAAACATTGTATTTTCTCCCATGTTATCTCAAGGTCTGTGTATATATTTAAAACACTTGATTGTTGAACACCACAAACTGTTCAAGACATTGTATCCCCAGAAAAAAACATTTACCAAAGCACCATTTTCTTATCCACTATCCCTGCTGTATTCAGAAAATAGGACCTGTACTTCATAGCTGGTGCATGCGCTATGAAGGTAAGCACAATTTTTTTTGAAGAAACAGCTCAAATCATATTGAAATATCACCAAAACGCTGGCTAAAAAACACCAGAATCATATGGCATACATGTGGCAATCTCCAACAACTTTTAGTCGGTTAGACATTGGTCCAGGAAAAATGGTGTCTTTAGAAATGGTAAAAGGAGGTTCTGGAATTGCCATGTCAATGCAACTGCCCAATAATGTTCAAGTTATGAAAGTGAATTGGGCTAAACACAATGGTTTTGTTTACTGTCCACATCTGGTTATTTGTGGCAAAGTTGAATCTGAAATGCCTCTTTTTTACCAGATTGTGTCAGTTGTGATAATGCATGAGAAATAGTTGCTCACTTCACCTCTATTTACAGTAACATTTCAAGAACATTTCCATGCATTTGAGGTGACCAGGACAAAGCAAGATTTTGTTGTCTTTCATGTTGACAACCTGCATTATCCCAGGCCTTTTGGCATACAAATGTCATATGGAGGGAATGACACAGCTCTCTTTGTTGTACCATATTGTTTTCTCTGGTGAGCACTGTGTTTTAAAAATAACGTTTATAGTCAAGGCAAGTATGGGTAACTGTTGTGTTATTTCACTGACAAAACATAATAAATGCTGTTACTGTAATATTGTATGTTTGTGTTTATTTCCATTTGATAGGTTGGATCACAGCAATTCAGTAATATAGCATAATAGTAAAATATGACCTAGATGTAAAAAAATAACACTGTAGAGAAATATCAATTAAATATTATTACGCATTAGAGTGTAATTTGAAAAACTAAATTTGGAGTAAAATAATCATATTACTCTGAACAGTGTGAACAAACCGCAGTGTTAAATATCTTTACACATTTCATTGTTAATTTTGACACTGAATTGAGTAGAATTAACTCTGAAAAGTTGACACTGGCCATAGAGTAAATTTTACTCTATTTTTGAGTGGGACCAAATGTTATCTGAAACGGAGTTAAATTCAACTCTCTAAGAGTTAAATTGACACTCGGTTTTTTACTGTGAAGCTTTCTCCCGCTAAAATTTTCCACAGTCTCTGTTGCCACCATTGAGCTACTACTAGCTTTGGTCCATAGAGCAGAACATTTGAAGATGGGACTTTTGTCCTTTTGCCCTTGTTTCACTGTTTGACGACAGCAATTTCTCCATGTCTGTGGTGGATATGAGACTGAGTGTGTGCAACGCACATCTGTGGTGTGGAAGGAGGATAAAACCACTGTCATTGCCATCATCACAGCTGGAAAGCACATTGTGTAGATCTGCAAATGTAACTTTCTCGGGGTGACAGTATTGGCTGAGCTAAAAGTCAGTCATTGCTGTTTCGGAGCTGTAGCACCGCCATCCCTCTCCTCCTTAATGGGCCTCGCCACCAGCGTTAGGGAGCAGTGCTTAGCTGGGAGATGCTTCTTCAAATTTTGAAGTTCAATTCTTCACAGCTGACAGACACATATTATCACCCAGACACAGTTTGCATTTCACTGTGACATTCTTGTTATTTTTTTCTGCAAATTCAAACTAATGTGAATACTTTCACAATGAAAAAGTTGCTTTATCTACCATCTCACTCGCTGAGTAACTCTGGTGGCACACAAACACATCAGAACTGCGATACATCACTGCCAGTGATACTTCTGCAGGTGGCTGCATACTGCCTGACAAGAAGTTGTCCATGAAGACAGAGGGGCTGTCCCATTTTTCCATACTTGGCTGAGTGTGCTTGGTTACGCACACACTTTGGTGACGTTTTGCCATGCAGAACGTACATTTGCATATAGATGAATTCAGCGAGCGATTTGTGTATGCGGCCATCTTGCGGCGGCGCCATTGCTGCGGTGACGTGTCAGTCATCAATTCATTATGCTGTCATTGTGAACTGACTCTCTACAATGACAGCATCATGTATAGCTGGATTGATGATGTTAGACGGTGGCCTCCGGTAACTGATGAAGGTATCTTAAATGAGTACCGATATTAATATAGAAATTAATCATTTGTTTAAGCGATAAGCAGGAAAGATTAGAGTAATAGGGAGATAATAGACTGTATCATTAAACACTGTGTAATATATCGTTAGCATACGTTACGTGTGCTGACGTTAGCAAGCTAGCAGCGTGACATTTAATCATTATGGACAGGCTACGTGACTAAAAACAACAACAACACATGTTTGTGTTTTGTATTCAAGGTATTCAAGAATATTTTATTGATCGTCTGGCCTCCGATGACCAGAAACATGGCAATTACAGGTCTCTGATTGAGGGTCAAAATTACCTGAGCTCCAGATGGGTCGAGCAAATTTTACACCGCCTTTTAGACGACCATCACATCATATTGAAGGCGATCAGTATTGATTGCCTTAATATGATGTGATGGTCACGTAGCCTGTAGCGTGTTCAAGCATGTATTAAGTGGCTAAGTACGTGGGGATATTTAAACGAAATTGGGACAGACTTGACAACGGCCCTTACATTGCGCATTGGATGTTTTTCTCCGCGAACAAAAACATTATCCAAACATGATTCAGTTTAGAAAAGGGTATAAAGAAATAATTTTCATGTAGGGATGAAAAAGGTGTGGATAATCAGCAGGGATCTGCAGCTGTGATTTATGTTGTGCTGATGTATGTATGTATATGGATATATGAATATATTTTCATGCTGCTACATAAACAATTCATGATATTTCTATTACATGCATTTAAGAAAGTCAGTAAATATGCTGGCGTATATAACACTACATTGGATATCTAAAGGAAAGTTAAAGGTTATTAATTAGTGAATAAAAGGGGAAGGATTAATTAAGTTAACTACTGTTTCATAATATTTGTCATGTTGGAAATAAAGACATCAATAAAAAGAAATGACAGAGCAAACTACTCACCTGTATCCATCAGCTGCAGTATTTTTAGCCCCGGTAAACAGGTAATCGTTTTCCGAATTGGAACGTTTGTTCTGTGGTCCCTATTTCAGATAAATTCTGTCGTTAGTAAATAATTCCAGGGCAAAGCTTGATGTGAATTTCCTCACCACAGACACATTAACAAAGCTTTCTAACATGTACCATCATGACGCTATGATATGAACGGGACTATGATATAAAGTTAAATTTATGAAAGCATTTTTCATACATTGAACTTTCTTCGGCGGCATCTCAGTCGAAATCCCGATGATGGCAGACTCACTGAACTATAGTGGGCAGACTTCACCAGCATTGAAGCATTGATGCATTGTGGGATTTGTACTTGGCCAAATACCGCTCAGGTGCGGTCTTCCCATAAGTGTGGCTAAAGTACAAATCAAGCGCACTTCACTTTTGGTCGTTGTAGAAATGGGATACACTAAGCACATGGATGTGCACGTCAAGTGTCCAAGTGCCTAAGTGTGATCAAGCGCGCATAATGGGACAGGCCCAGACTTCGTAGATTAGTATTGTTTTGTAGTATTTTCTTTTCGTTCTCAAACTAATGGATTACGTATTTAAAGACGGAACTGTCACGGACAACATGTTACTTTACTAGTTACAACAAAAAAGTAATCTGAGTACTCTGACACTGACTATGAGGAGTGCAAATTAATACACCAGACCTGGAGAACCCACCTGCCGGTTCCTGGTGTGCCAGTCAGCTACAGCAGCACAGAGAGAGAGTTACGCATAAGAACACAATCATGTGCCGGCGTTGCTCTGCAGTTGTAGGGGATGTGAGTGGAAACACATCCAATATATACTAACATCACCCAGATTTGCTGATCATCGGGACAAGGAAAAAACAAACTGGAGGGTAACTCTTCTCCCCACTGCTTTCAAGCAGCCTTACACAAAAGCAGAATGGTATACATTGTGTCGATCACGGGCACCCTTCCATAATGAACTCTGTAATGGCATGACAAGACACAATAACCTTGCAGTGATATTTTTTCTGGTGATGCACTGGTGGGAGTGGAGCGGAGTAGATCTGTGTAAATGAAAAATAAAAACAATAAAGAGTTTATTTTCGATGGTAACGCATTACGTTTCATCGTAAATTTAAAAACATTAACTGAAATTCTGTTGGTGAAGTATTATATCAATTTGTTACTGCCAAAACATAATGCATTATGAATTAAAATGTGGAAAGTCTTTGGTGATTAGACCCCGTAGAGATGGTATGATTTAAGGAGGGTGATGAATCCATAGTCGAAAAGGGAACCCCCCCGGTCTAGACGCTGGTGGTGGTCAAGGAGGTGAAGATGAGATGAGAGGAGGATGGAGAAGAGCTGATGATCTTGATGAGTAGAGGAATGAGCCTTTGTTGATCTTTCCCTGGACTTTGGATATGATGGCTAGAGGTGAACAGGGTGGAGGAGGGTGTGAAGATTCTGCCTAAAATGATAGCTGACAGCAGCAGAATAGAGACAAGGTTCCTACGCAAGTATGGAAAGTATGGGAAAGTATGGAAATAAATTTGATCAATTTTCAGGTATTAAAAAGTATGGAAAATGAAAAATAAAGTATGGAAAAATATTTTTGTTTCCAGACTATTACCACTGTTCTAAAATACTGTTTTCTAAAATAGAAAAATAGGTATTTCCAAAAATAATTTAAACAATCGGACCCCAGGACCCCAGGAAGAATAGCTGCAGCCTTGCTGTAGCTAATGGGGATCCTAATAAACAATAAATAAACAATAAATCCAGATCGTGTTTTATGCCGGGCCAAGCACAGTTTGTGTGAGAGCAAACCTCTCAGAAAACATACCGCCCCTTTTACCTGATTGACAAGTGGTACGTCCAGTCCGCTGCCCCATGACCCTCCTCCAGCCCCCCAGGTATCAAGTTTCACTCCAACACTGCACCTTCGACAAGAAGACGAGTTTCACGTGGTTCACAATGGGTAGATACAAGTTTTTGGATGGATGGCTTGACGATACCGTATATAAATACTGGTTGGCCAAGGATTCCCAATTCACACAGAGCTAGATGCTTCGTTTGACATCGCCAACATGGGGGAGAAGGCGATTCTGAGCCACACGAAAGGAAAAAAACACAGACGTCTCGTTACTGCATCGCTACTGAGTCCCAACCTTTTTGCCTCAGCCCAGACATTGAACTTACCTGAGTTTTTATTTGCATGCCATTATGGTACTTGGCTACAATTGCCCATTAAGAATAATTAAATATGATGTGAAATATGATAAGTAGTGTTTAACTTTTGATTGAACACTAAATTAAAACCCTTGGCGCACACTGCAGCACAATCAAACAGATGCGCAACTCAGAGCATCAGAAGTGTCTCTGACACCAGACTCAGAGTGGACCGGTGGAACTGGAAAATGCATATTAGGCCTACTAGTTAATACTTACGTTTTTCAAGTGATTTCCCAAATTTGTTGGTGAGTTGTGATATGCCAATTGCTTTTGGCAAATCTGGCACTCTGCTTTCTGGGGGTTGTCGGGGCATATTTCAAAGTGCAACCACACATCTGATGACCTCTTGGATGTGTCTGCCAGCTCTGAGTGCGCTCGCTGTCAGTATCGGACTGGTGGGCGTTAGTGTTGCGTTTAAGGCCTACCCCCAAAAAATGGAAAAAAAGCGC